TTGTTAAGTTTACAGTTAATGCAAGTTGGCGTTTCTGCTAAACAATCTTTTGCATAGTGGATTTGACCACAAAAGAAGCAGTAGGGTCTTACTTTACAGTCTCTGTTTGTATGATCGAAGTCCTGACAATTGTAGCAACGTTTTATGCCGTAAAATTCTCTTATTTTACAACTTATTCATCCCAATAGAATTTGTGAATGCTTCAAGCAAGTTTTGAAGGCGTTTGGAGTGCAACTGACAACCCATCTCACTAGATCCCTGGATTTGTCAGAAAGTTTAAATAGTGGTTTGAAATCTTGATTGTCACAAACTGTTGTCATTGAAAGTTGACTAAATAAGATATCAGTGGAGGTATTTCTGGGAATATTGTCGATAATTATTTTTTGAGTCCTTTTTTGAGCTATTCGGTAGTCCACTAAATTAGATGCCTCTTCATTATTAGCAATGGCGTTTGAAATCTTTAAAATGTCATCCTGTGAATGACAGGAAACAGCTATGCCACCTGTCCTTCTTCGGGTAATTCTTTTCACTGCAACATTAATTTGGCGTAGGGGAAGAATCTCGTCTAGTTGTCCCGTTAAGTTATTGCAGTTTTTATTTTTTGGAGAGATCAAGATTGTTGGAGAGTCTTGTTTTCTTGGCGAATGGGAATGCAAACGAGTATTTAAGTTGTCAACGTTTTGCAGAAATCCATGTGTTTGGTTGTGCCCTAGGAAGACTCCATTATGACAGCAAGCATGATGACCTAAATTGCTATGCATTTGTGATGTTACATTACAACTATTTACTTCATAGGTATCTTGTGTACGTGTAGGCGCATTTAGAATATCTTGGTTAATTTTGCATTGATTAATTGCAATATCTTTGAGTAGTTGCATTTGTTCCGAAACTACCGTGAGCACTTCTTTTCGGGAGAAGTTTTGTATTGCATCTTTTATTACATCTTTTAGTTTTACATCTTTCAGACATAAAGAGTTCCATTAAGTTTTCATATATCAAGTTTATTTGAATAACTGGATGTTTATCATCGATGGTAGATGATTTTATTTTGTCCAAAATTTGAGTCAAAGGTCAGAGGAATTGAAGATTCCGGCAATAAAGAATCAGGATCTTTTGTGATATCCTGATCTAACATAATAGTTCTGATTGAGCATGTGCTCGTATCTGTAGGTGTTGTCATAGCCATATTAACAATACTGACTTCTCAGATCAGTTATCTTGCATAACAATATTTCTTATATCTCAATATCTCAATATCAATCCTATGTCAATATATCTTATATCATTATTTCTTAAATGAATATTCTCTTACATCAATATCTTATATCACTCAATATTAATCATTATATTAATCATATAATAAAGTACAGTTGCTAAAATATTATTTTAATATTTTTAATTTAGTAATTCGTGCTTAACAATACTCAGACCAGAGTTAATAAAACATCTATATTGAGGATGGTACAATTCGCCCCTCTACTGAAAAAACCAGGGCTGTTCAAAATTTCCTGGAACCCAAAAACATTAAGCAGATTCAGAGTTTCTTGGGCCTTACTGGGTATTTTAGGAAATTTATTGCCAACTGTTCAAAGATAGCGAAACCACTAAGTGATCTTCGTAACAGAGCAGAATTCAAATTTGGGCCTGATCAAAAAGAAGCATTTAATAAATTGAGCCGCCCAACCGGTATAGTGGTTAGCGTTGCTGACTACCGTGCCGAAGGGTCCGGGTTCGAATCCCGGAGAAGGCATGGATGTTTGTATATGTTTAATAAACATTTGTAAAAACGTTTGTTGTTAATTTCAATATTAACCCTCACGGATTGGAGGAAACGGCGTTCGCCAAAGTCCTCATTTTCTTTCTTCTTGTTTAAAAAGCAAGATTGATACTGATACTGATACTGATAATAAATTGAAAGAACTTTTATCAACAAGTCCGGTTCTTCATATTTTTAAACAAGGAGCACCATTAGAATTGCATACAGACGCAAGCAGTCATGGTTTCGGCGCTGTATTGCTACAAAAGTCAGATGATGGGCAGTTACACCCCATTTACTTCATGAGTAAAAAAACTAGTCTCCAACAAGAGAAGCTATCTAGTTATGAGCTTGAAGTTTTAGCTATAGTAGAAGCTCTAAAGAAATTCAGGAATTACCTCTTAGGATCTAAGGTCAGAATAATTACGGATTGCGAAGCTTTCCAGAAGACTATGTTTAAGAAAGATTTAACTCCTAAAGTGGCGAGATGGGCGTTACTTCTAGAAGAATTTGACTATGAAATTGTTCACAGATCTGGGCAGCAAATGAAGCATGTGGATTCATTAAGTAGAAACGGCATCATGATGGTTACTTGTTCTCAGGAAGAAAGTTACAGCTAAAATTGCAGCCACGCAAAGAAGTGATGAGCGTCTCCAGTTGCTAAAATCCTTAGTCGAGCAAGGACTAAAGAAAGATTTCCTAGTGAAGAATGGACATACAAGTTTGACAGTGGTCGCGAGTTACTTGTGGTACCTGAAGCATTAGAGCTAGAAATCATACGTAGTATCCACAGCAAGGGACATTTCGCAGTGTCTAAAACGGAAGATCTGCTGAAAATCGACTTTTATATTCCTAACCTTAGAAAACGAATTGAACAAGTTATTTCAAATTGCATCGAATGTATTTTGTGCGACAGAAAACGAGGTAAGGGCGAAGGTTTGCTGAATCCCACACCAAAAGATAGTATCTGTTGCGCCTGCGCGCGCATTTCATTACTAGCGTCGGCGCATGCGTTTTGAGCTCTTGGAGTTGGTGACATGAGATTGTGAGCTAAGAGCGTATGAGAGAATTCGTGGCTTCGTGTGGCCATGAACTATGTAAATTAATGAGAATTAAAGTGAGATATAATACAGTCGATTGTTCCTGAGTTTATTGAATTATAGTGTAGTGCCTGAGCAAAACATCGTGGTCCGTCATGGGCCAGAGATCTATGGATTATGAGTTATATACAAGTAACAAGTAAGTCAGCAGTTTCGATTTAAGAATAAAGTGCCATTTTGTTATTCTGAGATACTGTGTAAGAGTTTTGAGAAAATTTATATACTGTGTTACTATGTTTAAGTAATTGAGAAGAATTACTTATTATCTTGTGTTATTTCACTAAGAGTACAATGTTGATAAAAGGTGCACTTAAAGAGGATTTAAAGCTATTGGCTTTAGAACTGAATATAGAATTAAGTGAAAAGATAACTGTTACAGATTTAAATTTAGCGATTAAAAGTAGTGAAGCTTTTAAATCCGATCCAAATTCGGTAATAGAGTTAGGTAATTCCATAGTAGAGCATCGTAAATCTAAAGCGGAAATATTGTTAAACTTGTTAGGGGAAAGGGCTTCGAACATTATCGTGTATATTAAAGATGAGGAGCTAAGTGACTATGAAAAAGTAAAAGCTATTATTCTAAAAGAATTCGAACCTACACCACAAATTGTTTTAGAAAATTTTAAAAGGCTCAACGCCTAAATGGTCCCATGTGCAGTTCGTGTCGCGATTAACCACAAATTTCGAATATTACTTAAAATTGAGGAAAATGTCTGATTTTGAAAACTCTGAAGCAGTTAGTAATATCAGACAAATTGTTTGAAACATTAGATCGAGAAACGTCAGCCCATATTTCTATAAGGCAAGCTGAAAGTTGGTTTCCGCCTCAACAAATGGCAAAGGAAGCAGATTATTTTTCACATCTCGCGGAAAGTCTCTTACCGAAAGTGTAAACAGCTTTCAAAAATCTCGCAACAATTACAAAACGTCGAAAAATGTTTCAAAGGTATTGCTTGCCGATGTAAAAGGCTTAAAGTGCGTTCTTTGTAAAGAAAATCATTTTTTGGCAAAGCCCCAAATTTCTTGAAACAACCAGTGAATGCTCGGGTTGAAATCATCAAAAGTAATAAATTGTGCTTTTATTGTCTAGCATTAAATCATTCTGTTAAAAGCTGCAAATCAATGTTTTCGTGTTCCGTTTGTGGGAAAAGACACCACGTGACACTGCATTTTCCATTAGAAAATAAATCATCGAAAACGAAGGAAAAAATAAAAACGAAACACCGAGTAGTTCCAGTGTGCTTTTTCCCCTAGCGCCAAACTTTCTGCCTACACGTAGCTCGTTTACGCTGCTTACAGCGACTAGTGTAAACAAAACCAAAAACGTTCTTTCTTAGCACGGCTATTTGCCTTTTTAATGGTGTTATGGGTAAGCTACATCCAGTCAAAACATTACTTGGTGGCGGCAGTACTTCATCGTTTATAAGAAGAGACTGTGCGAATAAATTCAACTTTTACTCTGAGAAGGTAAACATCGCGATTTCCGGATTAAATGATTCCTTATTTACAATTCGATCGAGAGTTTCGGCATGCATTATCAATAAAGATAAAAGTTACGTGATACTTTTAGACTTACGCAAGATTTACGCAAGATTTGATTCCTTCTAGGAAAATTGATAATGAAGTGCAAGATTTTTGTAACATAAAATTAGCTGATGAGAATTTTAACGTTACAGAACGCATAGAGATACTTTTAGGAGCCGAGGTTTTCTTTGAAATATTAAAGTCGGAACAGATTCGCTACGAAAACTCGAGTCTTATTTTACAAAACAGCGTATTTGGGTTTATTGTGTTCGGAAGCGTTACATCAGAACAGAGCCGCGTACATTGTGGATTAATGAAAACATCTGATGACTTAAAATAAACAATGAGAAAATTTTGGGAAATAGAGAATGTTGAAACAGCCATTCCAAAAAATAAGGAAACAGCAATATGTGAAAAACACTATGTGCAAACTCATAAGCGGAATGAAGAAGGGAGATACATTATAACAATGCCACTAAAGGAAGATATTATTGGCTTATAAAATTCAAAAGATTTTGCCTTTGAGTGATTAAATTCCCTATGGAAAAGATTAGTTAAAGACCCTAAGTTATTTAAGTCTGTATCAGGACTTTTTAAAGGAGTATGAAGAGCCAGGGCATATGACTGAGGTTAAAGAGAAAAATGAGCCTAGGGTAGTGTACTATATGCCACATCATGGTGTATACCGACCTCAAAAAACAGCAACTAAATTGAGAACAGTGTTTAATGCATCATGTTTAACATCAAATGGAATTTCGCTAAATTCTTTACAACGTAATGAAGGGGTTATTCAAGATGATCTCTTTTCAATGATGCGTAGATTTGAAAAGTACCCATTCGCATTTACGGCAGATATTAGAAGAATGTATAAAATGATTGAAATTAACCCTGAACAGAGATGCTTGCAGCGAATCCTGTGTGGAAATGAAAGTGATGCACCTGGGAAAAGCTACGAGTTAATACTGTGACCTGTGACTTACGGTTACAGTTGTGCGCCATACTTAGCTATGAGAACTCTTAAACAATTGTCGATGATGAAGGTCCAAAATTTCCATTAGCTGCGCCAGTCTTACTTAAAACTTTTATATGGATGATGTGCTTAGTGGCGGAATTTTGAGTACAGCTAAGGAACTTAAATCTCAGTTAAACTGCAATACTGAGAGTGCAGAATGACATGCACAAGTGGTGCAGTAATCATGCTGAAACTTGCGGAAGATCACTCCTATTCTTTCCTAATGAAGCAGAATCTACAACACTTGGAGTGTCATGGAGGTCTAGAAGAGATTGTTCCTGTTTTAGAGTGAAACTCGATAATGACATAGTTGTTACCAAACGACAAATATTGTCCACAATTGCAAGATTGTTTGACCCGATTGGTTTACTAGGGCCAATCATAAGTAAAGCCAAAATATTCCTCTAACGGTTGTGGTTGTTAAAGCTGAATTGGGATGAATCACTACCAAAAAAGGAAGCTGATGAGTGGAAGAAGTTCTCTACTGAACTGGAAGTTTTAAGTAAAAAGAAATTGAAAGTTTATTCTTATTGCAGAAGTAGACTATGGGAACTTCATGGATTTGAGATTCCTATGAGGTAGCATACGGAGCAACCATATATTGCAAGTGCCGTTCGAGAGATGGAAGAAGTGAAGACAAGGCTAGTGACGAGTAAATCCAGAGTCTCGCCTGTTAAACGAGTTACTATTCCGAGATGGAGCTTGGGCGGCAGTCTACTTGCAAGTTGATGGTTAGAGTAAATCTGCATTAGAGATTTCTGTGAACAACGTTATGTGGAGTGACTCCATGATCGTGCTTTCATGGATACAAAAGGAGCCTACCGTTGAGACTTTGTTGCAAATCGAGTGGCACCAATTCAAGAGTTGACTAATGGTCATCAATGGCGTCATGTGTCATCAGAGAGAATCCGAGTGATCTATATCCCGAGGCTTGGATCCCAGTAAACTTCTACAAAATGATATGTGGTGGAAAGGCCCTCTGTTCCTGAGATACGACGACTACCAAATAGAGAGATTCCGGTGGAAGTCATTGTGAAGGACTTTCCAGACGAACTTAAAATCCTTAGTGACTCTAATATTTTTCTTAATGTGAAAGCTAACCCTTTCATTGAGGATTTCTAAATTTAAGTAACAATTACGCTAAAATTATTCGTTGTTTTAATTTTTTTTTAGGTGTAAACAACTACAAGGGAAAGGACAAGGTTTTCAGGTCCTCTTCAGAGCTCAGAATTAAAATTAGCTGAACTTAAACTGAATAAGCTAATTCAAGATAGTGAATTTAAAAAGAAATCTCAAGCCTTGTAAAGGAGGGTAAGGTTACCTCAGATAGCAAGGTAAGAAGTGTTTTCCATTTTAGATCAATATGGAATTTTAAGAGTTGGACGCAGATAGCTAATTGTAAGTTGAATTTTGATAGAAAATTTCTGTAATCTTACCAAAGAATCATAAGTTGACTAATCTAATTATTGTGATGTTCATAAGAAATACATGCATATGGTCCTCAAGGCTTATGTCTATTGTAACGGGCGTAACACTTGTAGAAAAATAGTACATGAGTATGTCGTATGTTTCAAGCAAAAACTAGTGCCCTATCAACAACTTATGGTCAACTCCCTCAAGAAAGAGTCAGCCCGAATTTCCATTTCAATTGTGTTGGAGTTGATTTTTTTGGTCCTTATTTTATAAAATACCCATCAGAGAAAAGGTCGCCTTAACAAGGTGCATGTGTGCATTTTCGTTTGTTTTGGTACCAAAGCTTGTCATCTTGAGTTGGTAACAGAGCTGTTAGTCAAGCATTTATTGCAACCTTAAAGCGTTTTTTCAGCAGGAGAGGCAAGTGTGCACGCATATTTCAGATAACGCAACCAATTTTGTTTTGTTAGTAGTAACGCCAGAATTAAAGAAATTGAATAGGCTAGTCAGCAAACACATGATGATGAATTAGGTAATTATTTATCGAGTGAGAGTATTGATTGGTCGTTCATTCCCTCTAGAGCTCCCAATCATGGAGGGTCTTGGAAGGCAGGTGTCAAATCTGTTAAGTTTCATTTGAAACGCGTAGTAGGCAATTTGAAACTAACCCATGAGGCAGTTCCTTAACAGTAATTGCTCAAATTGAAGGCATTTTGAATTCTAGGCCCTTGCAATCCTTTATCCATCCGAACCAGAGAGAGGATTTTGATATCTTGACACCAAGCCACTTCCTGATAGGGCAGACCAATCACTTCTATTGTAGAACCTAATATTTTAAACATTAACGATAATAAGATTAAAGAGCTTGGCAAAAATTGGCTAAAATAGGTACAAACAATATGGTATGTACTGGAGAAATAACTATTTGAGTGCAATGTAAGGAAAAACTAAATGGTTCTTTGATAAAGACAATGTCAAGGTTAGAACTATGGTAATTTTAAAGACTGATAATGTTCCTGTATGTAACTAGCCTCTTGGCAGAATCGTAGAGATATTCTTAGGTAAAGACAATAAGGTAGAGTTAGAGTAGTTTCAGTGAAAACGAAAGGAGATATTTTTAAGCGATCAATTAATAAAATTTGTCTTTTACCTATGCCAAATTAACAAAAAAAAGTATGTTTGTAATTAATTATTGTATTTTCTTATTATAGTAGTTTGATTTTTGTTGATGTTATTATTTGATGTTTACAATTATTTACCTGTATTTCGTATTGTCACTCTGTGTAATTTTTTATTGTAAGATCTAATTTTGAATGATTACATCATGTCAAGGCGGGCGGTATGTTGCGCCTGCGCGCGCATTTCATTACTAGCGTCGGCGCATGCGTTTTGAGCTCTTGGAGTTGGTGACATGAGATTGTGAGCTAAGAGCGTGTGAGAGAATTCGTGGCTTCGAGTGGCCATGAATTATGTAAATTAATGACAATTAAAGTGAGATATAATACAGTCCATTGTTCCTGAGTTTATTGAATTATAGTGTAGTGCCTGAGCAAAACAGTATCCCTTTGAGCACTTTTCATATCGATTTTATAGGACCATTACCTTCTACAAATAAGAACTACAATCATATCTTAACCGTGGTTGATGCATTTACAAAGTTCGTGTGGCTCTATCCAGTAAAGTCTACATCAGCTCAAGAGGCATTGCAGAAGTTGAAACTGCAACAATCAACTTTCGGTAATCCTTTGAGAATTATAAGCGATAAAGGTACGGCGTTTACCTCTAAAGACTTTGGAGATTACTGTAGTCAAGAGAAGGATCCAGCACATATTTACAACTACGGGCGTTCCTAGAGGAAAAGGACAAGTGGAAAGAATTCATCTCCCTCTGATTCTAGTCCTATCCAAATTATCCATAGATGATCCAACCAAGTGGTACAAATATGTTGGAGATGTGCAACGGATCTTGAACAGCACTAAGAGCAGAAGCACACAGAGTTCTCCATTCTAGCTCCTCACTGGTGTTAAAATGAGAAATCGAGAAGACTTAAAGATTATGGAAATTCTCGAGGAAGAAGAAAAAAAATATTAAGATGAAAGATTGAGAAGATATGAGAGAAGAAGCAAGGAAAAACATTCTAAAAATTCAGGAAGAGAATAGAAAAACATACAACTAGAAGAGAAAAGAGGCACAGGTTTACAATGTGAACGACCTATAGTTGCCATACAGCGAACGCAGTATGGAGGTAATCGAAACTTAAGGCCAAAGTTCTTCGGTAAATACATACATATATATGTGGTAGGGGAGTTGAAGATGCTAAATAACAATTCCAACGTTTTCCACACCACAGAACATTTAATGAAAATAACAGAAGGTACATTAAATCGAGTCACAGTGGCGTTTGATACAAAACAGGATTCCGCATTATCACTTTTACCAATTTTATAACATAGCAACTTAGTGCCTACTCGCACTTGCTGTCGTATTATGCAGTTCAATTTACCACCTCCTCGTGGGAACATACAGTTCATATTTAACCACCTTCTCGTGGAGAACTATGTCTTACCACCTTCGCGTGGAATAGAAGACTCTCTGTCTATCTGACGTACTCCTCTTTTACCTCGCTTTCGCTGCTGGCGCACCGGTGAGGCTCTCTGGTGGCTGTGTTGCACTTACGGATACTACAACTCGTCCGTCCTGACACTTTTTTCGTCCTCGAAAACACGGATCAGTGACACTGGTACATCAAGACAGCATCTGAAAATAAATTTAAAAAAACAAAAGAAAATGAAAAAAACAAAAAGAAAGAAGTGCGGAAGAACCGCACATAGTCTTATATAGTAAAAGTCCAAAGCTTCATGATATCAGCCGCTGTAGTGGTACATCCATGATTTTCATGGTGTCCCACTTTTTCCACCTCGTAACGATCTTTACCTTTTCTCGCTGTTACACGATATCTGTTACACGATATCTGTTTCTCGCTGTTACACAATGTCTTGATGTACCAGTGTCACTGATCCGTGTTTTCGAGGACGAAAAAAGTGTCAGGACGGACGAGTTGTAGTATCCGTAAGTGCAACACAGCCACCAGAGAGCCTCACCGGTGCGCCAGCAGCGAAAGCGAGGTAAAAGAGGAGTACGTCAGATAGACAGAGAGTCTTCTATTCCACGCGAAGGTGGTAAGACATAGTTCTCCACGAGAAGGTGGTTAAATATGAACTGTATGTTCCCACGAGGAGGTGGTAAATTGAACTGCATAATAACGACAGCAAGTGCGAGTAGGCACTAAGCTGCTATGTTATAAAATTGGTAAAAGTGATAATGCGGAATCCTGTTTTGTATCAAACGCCACTGTGACTCGATTTAATGTACCTTCTTCTGTTATTTTCATTAAATGTTCTGTGGTGTGGAGAACGTTGGAATTGTTATTTAGCATCTTCAACTCCCCTACCACATATATATGTATGTATTTATCAGGTACCCAAATTTAGCCAACAAAGCCACATACTTATATTATATATATATAATATATAAGAAGATTCC